TAAGTGGGCTTTAAGCCTCAACACCTCAGCGGGTAGTAAACCACGCCAGAAGAACAGTTATTCCCAGGAACACTTCAGGAAAACTGCCTTCTTGGACCCAGATACATGATGTTTCCCCTGCCAGCCCACCTATGTGGCCATGGTGCTTCCCCAACAGCTTAGTGATACAGGCATCAGGACACAAGAGCACCAGTTTGAATTGCAGCTTTGGGACACTTACCTGAATGTCCTTGGGCAGGCCATTTAGGATGAGCTTCAAATAGGAAGTGGGCTGGTGCTGGAAGTGAACTGTAACTGGTGGAATACAAAATCCTGAATTACATTCCTCATATACTATATGGGAAGGGTCAAGAACCTCAGTGCACAAATGCCCGTGCAGTGGAGAGCTGACCAAGAAGTATTTCCCTCAGGGAGATGCCAGTGCTAGGGCTGCAGCTCAGATCTTCACTTTTCCAGCACTTGCATGCCTTGGGGCTGCTGGGAGGCACGTCTAATCCTTAGTACTCACAGGCCAGAACTCCTGGAAAGTAGGTGCCTAACAACCTTTCTTTCAACAATGGAGCAGCAGTCATACTCTTCGTCTGAAACATGACTAGGGACTAGGCAAGAGCTGGTAACGGCCTCATCCTAGCCTTACACCCCTCCTCTTACACACCAGCTCAACGGTGAGAATGGAGGCCAGTCACCCAGGGTGTGGGCATCCCATGTCAAATCCCCTCCTTGGCGCCAGGGGCTTCAGACCTTCACGTCCCATTACGTCCCTTAACCACCAAGCTGTACGCCATCCCTGGATGGGAACTCACTTTGTAGAAAGGAATTTGGCTTGTTCAAGGGAGGCAGGACAGCTCCTATCCTAGTGGTTAGGGCATCACCTAGACCGCGGAGGGCCAGCCTTTTTTGGCAGGTGCACCACAGGTTAGTGCCTCCCCCTCCTCGAATGCCACTCCGATCCTTTTCCTCTGCCAGCTCTGCTTTCTGACCCCTGCCAGATGTCCTGCTCAGCCTTTTTTTGCTGCTCCCTGCCCCGTGCTCCCCGCTGGATCCGCTCCCTGCCCGCAGGCTGGCCGCGCCGAGAGGGGCAGAGCGGGTCGCGGGGTTGCCGCCCCCGTGCCGCCGCCTCTGCAACGGGCATGGCCCGCCGCCGGGCCCCCCTGG